GGGAATTCTGGGAGTTGAAGTCCACTCATCTTAGTGGCCAAGTTTGGACAACACTGCTCTAGAGGATCAGACTAAAGTCTTTCTCAGCCTTATCCAGAGGCAGCAGAGATCAAACCTGCAAGCTACTTCTTGCAAAGCATGTGATCTCCCACTGAACTATGGCCCCTTCCCTACATTTCACTGAATGCATGTTTATGTTTCCTCCTCACTTCTAGTTAGCTCCTATTAGCAAATGAGCAGTGATTCTCTCTTGGCCTCATTCATGTGACTACCAAGCACACCCTTTTTATTGGAGCTGACTGGCAGAATATGCCTTTCTCTGCACCAGGCAGCCTACTCCAGATGGTGTTCAAGGCTAAGTAACTCAATGACCTGCTGAATGTGTCAAGATTGTAATATATTCCTCCCACTGATTTCTCACTTACAATCTCAAATCCATTTTAAATTGTTTTATACAAATGTTCCTAGTGAGGAACCTAGAATCGACAATGCTGCAGCAGTGTGAACCGCTCAGTGACGTTGGGTACAATCAATACTATTGTAGATACCAGATCTCTGAGATCTCTGTAGAAGTTACCTGGAGCTCTCCAAAAGAAGCCTGGAGTATATGTTTTCTTGTGGATGAGAGAACTCTGGAATTCAAGCTGTCTTTACATATTTACAAATAAAAAAAAGGGAATATATTCAAAGCAAAACTGCTGTGACTTCAGTGGCAACAAATGTGCAAATCTTACAACAGTTCTCTGATGCAAGGCCTCTGGTAGGTATTACATTCAAAAGCTGATGAAAGAATTCAGACCTCAGATCTATTATCCTTATCTTTCACTGAATAAGCATCAAGCGGTCTCCTAGAATATTAGTAGACCATCAGTCTTACAGAAGTTGGTTTCTACTCTAGCTATATATACCTGTTTTAAATCCTCATGGCTTCCCTTCAAGGAATGCAGCTATGAAGAAGTATTGTTGTTCATGGTATCTGTCCCACATGGTTGCAGGATCCACTTGCTTTTGCACTGTGCTCACCTAGTTCTTGCAGTAAAGCTATCAGTGCACGATGCAATGAGGGGTTTTGTTTTTCAGCCAGCTTGTTGCAGAACCTGACAGGGATTTGGGCTGAGAAGGACAGACTGGTCTAAGGGCCCCCTCCTAAGGGAAGATTAGAACCTGGCTCTCCTGGCCCCTGGTTCAGCTCCTTAACCACCACACCATGGTGGCTCTCTTTGCACCTACCAAGGATTAACATCCCTATTTGACTCATGCAAGTGGTACTTCCCAGAAATTCCTTTTCCTATTATTCCAACTACTGGTAGAATTCATTATTCACCTTTAAACTGCTTTGAGAAAAGGGAGAAACAAAGAGGGTATTGCCTTTTACTTTTTGTGTCACAATCTTTTTTTTAAGGCTATCTGGCATGATTTGACTAAATAAGGGGACCAGCTCTGGTATTTCTGAATTAATTAAGGACTCCCCATGTCTCATGTTCTGACATTACTTCAAGCTCCAGGGTTCATAAGCTATTCTGACATCCACCATATTCTCCCAGGTTTAAAATCCTTTTAAAACTTTTCATGATGGTTCAGTGTTACCTAACACACAGCATTTCAGTCATCTTTATCTGCTGCTGCTTTCCTCTATGCACCATTTATTTGATAAAAACTTCACCTGATTAGCTATACATGACTAGTAGAGTGGGGCCTAGAGGTGGAACATATGCTTTGCTGGCAAACATTCCCAGGCACCTCCCATCGAGGTGGTCAGATGACAGGAAAGATTTCTGGCTGGCACCTGAGCAAGCCATTGCCCATCAGAACAGACAGTAGTCAGCAAGATGGACCAATAGACTGACCTGCTAAGAAGCAGCCTCCCATACTCCCCACAAAGAAGGAGAATGAAGGTCGTTGCTCAGCTAGGCAGAAGAAGTTACACAACTATTAAAAGCATCATTAATTCTGGCTCCACAGGAATGCTCAGAGCTAACAAGGACTCTTCAGTGGTTGCTTAATGAAATTAAACACAGAATTGCTTATGACATTGTAAATACTCCAGCGGTAAAGGCCGTGCCAATACAGACTTGTAGTAAAATGCAGCTGTATATGTGCTCCCGGTTACCATTTAACAGACATCAGATTGAAATCTGCACTATGAAAATGGGAGCAGGAGAACATTTTCTTTCAGGTCCAGAACAGATTCCATCCATGCTATGTTACATTGATGATCAAGGGTGATGTATATTTAGCTCAGTACTGAGGATGAATGAGTAGGCCAAGTGTAAGTATGGATGACAACTTAATAAGCTGTTCGTTTCTGCAATGTGTCCATAGCCACTTGGTGAGCTGAACAGGATTGACAGAAGAATTACATCAGAGCACAAAAATAGATCTTATGGGGAACTGCCTGAAATTAGAAAGCAATGACACACAACCCTAGCACAGGAGGAGCAGTCTGAAGGTCCAGTCCATCCTAGGACAGGGTGCAAGCAAGGAAAAGCATCTGAAGGAGGCTGGTTGGCAAGTCACATAGAAAACATAAGAATCAAGCTGTAGTCCTCAAAAAATGGTAAGTGGGTTGTCTCAGAGTCAGGGTAAGGAGGCTGTAGAGATAAGCTTATCTTTTTCTGAGGATGTATCCTCACAGTGAATCCATCCTCTTCCAAATTGCTCTGTCCAGAGTTCTGACACAGGCTATGTCTTGCATGAACATCTTTGCCTTTCTGTGGGGATGGGGAACCCATGAACCTCCAGATGTTATTAATTATAGTACTCAACATCTGTCATAATTGACCATACTGGCTGAGGCTGTTGGGTGTTACAGTTTAGCAAGATCTAGAGAGTCACAAATTACCCTGTCTTGTTAGGGATGTAACCCTGCTTTATAAAGTTCATGACCATGTCCATCCATGTAAGCCCCACCAGATCAAGAATTAACTCCACAGGAAGGCAAGGACTACTTTTATTGAGAATAACAGAATCTTGCTGATTGTACTGTACCTTATATCCATGCGAATTAGGGAGGTGTCTGTCTGAGCTATTTCTGGCTTGTTCTGGACTTAAGCTATGTTTTACCCCTCGTTACTTTGGTAACGGATCTAGCCTATCATTGTCAAGATCATCTTGCTACTATCCAGTAGGGAGTCCCTGCTGCGGTTCGTTTCTATTCAGAGGCACCCTCCAAGGAGGTGGAGCATCAAATGATGAAAGGAGAATTGCACCATCATGACGCAAGCGCCACCCTTTTTGCACGTGCAGTGTGATGTCACAAGCAAAGGGACGGAGCTTGCATCACAGTAGCACATGTTTATGCTTATGTCCTTTTAATCAAAGCCTCCAGTCCTGCAAATGCTTTTGTTTCCATTTCTAGATACAAGTGTTGCTGTGGCCATTTACCATGAGCATGTAGCCATGGTAGTTTCTCTGACACTTTTTGAATGTAGAACAAATGCTTTCCATCCTAGCAATTTATAACTCCCATTAGATGCAGTCAAGTTTGTAAGAGCGGAATATTCTGGCTACAGATTGATTTTAAAAGGGAAGTTGTAGCTTTTTAATTACATTCCTGGTGCTCTAACTATGATCTACAGTCTGATTTTGGAATGTCTGCTTCATAATCTGTAACTGATTGGCTCTCCAGCAGCCTTCATGGATTAGATCAGAGATTGTTCAGAAGAGGAACAGTGGCTGAAGGTCTCTATGAATTACTGTGATACAAGCCAGATTAAAGGAGAAAACACCCCCTCTCCCTTCTTAGCAGTAGAAAGCTGGGCTCCTGCTACCCGGGCAGCATAGCTTGTGCTTGGCTAAGTATTAGGCTTCAAGGGTTGGGTGTGGGCCAGTTCTCACTTGGGACTGGGAGAGAGCCAGAAAGCACTGCAGAAGATGCCTGATGTTCAGGTCTTTGCCAAGGTTTCCTTGGAGAGTGAAAAATTATAGAAAAAGTCTAATGAGGCCCAGCTCAGAAGGGGTGCTCAAAATGGAGACTAGACAGGGGGTTGTTCACAGGCTTCTCCAGTATGTAATAAATAAATATGGATCACATTGGACAGTTTCTTTTTTAAATTGCAGGAACGCTGTGACCGTGGTGCTATTTATATACCCTTTTGTCATTCAATCCATACAAACCTCATCAGAATAGGGCTGTAATTTCAAGCACCAAAATTAGGAGACTCACATTTTGGAGTTTATTGGATGAACTGGGGTGCAGTTAGAGAGCAATATCTGTACTGAGTTGAGACACAGAAGAGTAATAATGATTTTCCAGTGAAAAGGAATACTAGGATACTATGAACTGTAACATTCCATAATGATTTTAGAGCAGAGAGAGACAACTTTCTTGCAGCCACAAAGAAAGAAAACTTTTGGGCAGAGACTTGTGAGAGCCACGAGACAGGGCCAGAGCAAAATCTTCAACAGTTTTAGAAGGTTGGTGAAGTTTTAAAGGACAAGGGAGTATCTAGTTGACTTCTTTTTTTTTTTTTTTAAATAAAACTAAGAGAATCTGCCCAGATTTGGGGGAGGGAGGTATAGGTTTAAGGCAAAAAATGGATGTGTTAAGCTTCAGCAAGAAACTTTTCACTTCAGTTCACTGAAATTAGCTTAAGTATATGTAACAAATTTGGCGTGACTTTAATACTGTAGATTACATTTTTAAAATAGTTACATGTTAAAGGTATACATGTGGAAGTTTAAGCTTAAAAAGTTCAGGCCTCGACTCTTTTCAGTAAACCAGCTAACATTCAAATGTGTTTTCAAGCAGCTACTTTTCCCAACCTTTTATTGCCTTTGTTACAATAAAACCTTGTTACGAAGCTTTTATTGTTGATTAAACATCTCAAGACAGAGCAACCGGTCATTTGTTAGATTAGACCCACCCAAATTGTGACCATGAAGCTAACACCCCACTTAGGCCAAATTCAACCTTCTCTTCTGGGGCTCTTAATTAAGTTGGGTGTGTGTGTGTGCATATCATACGGGCATGAAGCACTGGCAGACAGCTGGGCAGTATTCAGCGGAAGGGGTTACTAAAGTTTTGGAGGTCTGTAATAGATAACACTAATAATCTTTCTCTAGCACTTTCTTAGATGCTTCCCTAAGCTGGTTTCGGGGCGACTATCTAAGGTTGACACAGAATTGGTGTAACAATTTCTGAATGCTCCTTTTTAGCACAAAACTCCTGCTGTTCCATCATTTATTGCTGAAAGCTTAGGGTGCCACCTGCTGACTGATCAGTGCCTCCTTTGTCCCGTTTCAGGCAGCGCTACCTAGACAGCAGCCTTGGATGGTTGCAATGTTTAAGCTGATTTTAATCATTTCACTTTTGCCCTGGGGAACCCTGAGAACTACAGTTCAGGCTGTAGATCAGGCTTTGGCATCAAGTGAATAGCAACTGGATACTAGCAAAAAGAGTTTTTTTTTTAAAAAAAAAGCTTTAATTATTAACAATTAAATTTTGCAGATGTTTACATCTCAACTAAGATTATTCCTTCAAAATCCAATTTCCATTTGCAGAGAAAGCTAAGTAATTGACTATCTATATCAGATGTAAATATAATAATTAAGCCTTATTTTATACACTCTGTTTCTTAACAATGTCTATTCAAATGCATTTACTTCCTTCCTATCATCTAACCTTGTTAGACTATTTTCTACCTGTAGAGGAATATAAAATGCAAATAGCTATCCAGAACAACTATTAGCCTTGGAAGGAAAAACCTGCACTAGATCAGATGAAGCCTTCCCCCCAGGGCAAATAATAGTTTTTGTGGAACAGTCTGGACATCAGTAGGGAAGGAAAAGATTAATTTTATCTTCCCACTTGCTATGAATCTCAGTCAACATAATCTTGTAGCACTTGCATATTTTTTGAATACTTATGTCAAAAGCAATGATTCATTAAATCTACTTTGGAATTCTAAAGAGAAACTTCTTTCATGGAACCCAAAACAGCAGAGATGAAAGCTTGGGGTTAACCAAATTCACAAACGCACTTTGGCCAAGTTCTTTAAAAATCTCAATTTTCCCAAAAAACAAGAGGAAACGGGTTTGGAAACTATATTTCCAAAAGGAGGTGGGTTTACTATCACCATTGGAGGTCTTGAGCAATTATTCCCATCTTTCAAAACATGCTCTGCCAAAACAAAGCTCTTCAACTAGATGGGGCACTCCAGGAATATTTCTCATGTCCCCTTTTAATCCAGAGCACAGTCATAAAAGCAGGTCTCCTGTAAATTAATCTTGACTGAAGGCTTTCAGATGGACACTTACAGAACACCTTCCAAAGAAAGGAAGCTAAATATAATTCAATGTACTGTGCTAAGAAAAAAGGTAATTGACTTATCTTGTACTTGATGGTGGCAAATGGAAAAACAGGGTGTGTTTTGTTTTGTTCTGGCTCTTATATTCTGGTAATGTTAATGGGAACATGAATAGAGTTCATCATCTTCTTCTTTGACTTGTATCATGCCAATCACTGTATGAAGCAGGCATCATATGAAAATTAAAGAGCCCTAAGGCTTATAATCTAATAGAATTGAGAAGGAAAAATGGGTAACTAACTGTTGTGAGTTGGGAGAGGAAATCATTCAAAATCTTACTGGCAGATCCCTTTTTCAATGGTTTCCAATAAAATATATTTATGATAGTCTGCTAGCAGTCAGGTTGCTGATATGCCTCAATCTGCCCAGCTTGGAAGCTCTTAACCCTTTCATCAACAAACAAACCAATCTTAAAACATAAGCGGTAGCTGTGCAGCCATGCAGTCATGCAGAAAGGGAAGATTTTAATAAGAACCCCCCCCCCTTTTTAAAAAACAATAAAATAAAATCTTTCAATATAAAAACTGAGTTTATTGGGGAAAGGGAAGTACAAGAAAAACAAGAGAAGGCAATACCCCCAAAGACAAAATACTAAATGGAATGAATACAGCAAAATCTTGCATTTCAGAATGTACCCAGAGTTCACGGGAGAGAGATCATCTGGGCCTCCTGCTTAGATGTTGTTAGTCAAGCTCTCACTGCTCCTGCTACCGCTGCTGCTGCTGCTCCTCCTCCTTCTGAGCACAATCCTCAGTTTTATAGAATTCTGTATTGGTGGAAGTTAACCAAGAGCCAGCCTTTTTGCAAAATGCTTCATCTCTTATTCATAGGTTGCTAATTCAGGACTCTCTGATTTATCTCTAATCAGAAAATATTTGATTCACGTATCTCTAATTAGAATGTTTCTTAACAGCTCTGGGTTAAATTCATTCTCTGCAACCCCCTAAAATACAGGTAAGAGCATTTGAAAAGTGTTTGCCTTTTTGAAATAGGAAACATGCAAAAATTATTGTGGAAGTCCTAAATAAATTGAATATAGTTTTAGAAAATCTCTAAATTGTATTCTAAACAGCAAGATCCCCCCACCAAAACCACTGATTTACCAAATTTGCATTATCTCCCCACTCACTGCAGCTTCTGTCCAGATCAACACACTTAAATGATGTTTGACATTCCAATAAACTGTAACGCAGCTTTCCCCAAACTGTTGGTCTCCCGATAAATTGAGATTATAGCCCCAGAATTCTCA